GATTAGTGTATGTTTCTACCCTCATCAGAGAAGCTTCCTTTGGCAGTATATGGCAGGTTTCAAAGAGAGCTGCAACTGGTCAGAAATCAACATGATAGAGAGTCAGAGGTGATAGATGTTCCCGGAGTCATGGGAGGAGAGGATGTCCATTTAGGACTGAACATTACAGTCTCTTATTCTCTGAAACCTCCTCCCTAAGGACTAGCTCTCATAGTATTGAAAGGTGCTATGAAAGCTGCCAAGGGAGAAAAGCAATCAATAGTTCTACACAGCTAAAAAACCTGCAAACCATGACAACAGCCAACCCAGAGAGATGTCTCCAATAGTGCAAAGGTGGAACTTTTATCTTGTGGGTAACCAACTGTCTAATAGGACTTAAGAGTATAAGCTCAATAGGTGGGTATTCATGCCTGTAAACCTAGACCACTACCCATGGCTGGAGTGGTCATAGACCCTAGGGTAGAACCTACCATGTCATTTTCCTAAATGTACTTTCTAGCTGTATACTGCATACTTAACGTTATACCCACAGGTAAGTGTAACTCTCACCTCTCACCACAGAAAAATTCTTTTTTAGCAGTAAATGGTGGCTACTACGGAGGTGCAAAACTGCTTCAAATGTAGAGAATAAAATTGTGTGGAATGCAGCTACAATTGGTACATCTATAATGTAACCCTTATACCTAGGGCTCAGAGAACCACAAGGAAGAGGGGGAGAAAGGTTGTAAGAGCCAGAGTACCAGGACATGAGCTACAAGACAGTGTTTTCTGACAGGACATGGATGCAGTACCCATGACATCTCAACAACATGGTGTGTAAACAAGACCTACTCAATGTATCACACCACTTGACATGCCAACATGGATGGAGAAATTTCACAGGGCCCCACCCCTAGATGAATAGCTACAGGAAGTCAATTGCTGCTGAACAGGGGACAATAAGTCTTCTCCATGGAGGAGCCCCAACAGGTTATCCGATCCCTAATGGTCAACCCTAAAGAAATGTTCATTGGGGAAACATTAAATCTCAGTATGATATACATATACATATATGAGTAAATACATGTGTAACATTAATTAAAGAAGAGGCTATGGAACTGAGGAGAAGTTAGGAAGTTGCACAAGAGAAGTTGGATGGGAAGAGGGATGGTGGAAATGATGAAAATGCAGTACTCTGTTTGAAATTCTTAGAGGAATAAAAAACTTATTTAGAAAAATGACCATCACAGCAAAAAATCATAAGAAAATATACAAATTTATGGTGATTTACCAAATTGCTGTCAAATGGGTAAAGGGAACATTCAAGAAATTGTAAAGGTAATGGAAATGTATTGATATGATTAGAAACAGAAAAGGAACAGAACAAATCTTGGGTGCACAGCAAAAGTAGCTCTAAAAGGGAAGTTTAGTGGCAATATCCTCTTATATTGCAAACCAGTATGATTTGAAAAAGCAACTTTGTCACATTTCTCAAAGACAGAGAAAAGCAAGAATAAAGCACACCCGAAAGTAGTAGAAAGGAAGAAATGACCAAGAACATAAATTAAAAAAAAAAAAATGATGACAGGAAAAGCAATAGAAGTGATTGATGAATCAGAGACCTGGTATTCTGAAGAGGCCAAGTCAAGAAACTTTTCACCACATAAGAAAAAAGAGACAACATCCAAGTCAGTACAATCAGAGATGATAAAGATGACATTGAAATGGATGCCACAAAAAAGGATTATTAGAGAAAATTATGAATAACTTTAAGCTAACATCTGGAAATCTTAGAAGAAATTAAAAATTGCTTAACATATAACCTCCCATACTTGAGTCATGAAGGCCTTAAAACCCTAAACAGACCAAGAATTAGTGGAGAAATTGAATTATTAAAAATTCTAGTCCAGGCCTGGATGGCTTTGTTCCTAAATTCTATTCAACTTTAAAATAACTAATGCCATATCTCTTCAAAGGAGTCCAAAAAAATCAAAGGGACAAGAAGGCTTCCAATGTCATTCTACAAGACCAGCATTGCTCAGACACCTAAAAAGACAAGGACACAACAACAACATAGAAAATGAAAGATGAAAATCTCTAACACCATAGATGCAAAAGTTCTTAGCAAAATCTAGGACATAGAAACCAACAGCAAAGCGAAAGTATCATTCACAATAATCACACTTGATTTAGAGACAAAATGTAGAATAGAGGCCTTGTGCTCTAGAGTGAGAGGAACAGGCAGTTATTAGATTTTGGGTGCCATGTGTCCATTCAGGGTGTCGAACAGTTCTCTAGAAATGAATATGATGATGGTTTTACAAAATACAAAAAGAAGTTAGTCTGACCAAACTTGAGTCCTTACAGTGGTAAAGTTTACATTATGTTCATTTTAACCCAATAAAAATGTATTAAGACAGTAACACTTCTAGAACCTTAGGATTAAACTCAGCATGTCAAGCAGAAAGATAAAACTGTCTGGTACAAAAGCACCTTCAATGGAAAGCTGGAGCTACCAAAGGAAAAGGAGCCAACTCCACATATCTGTTTAAAAGAGTGGGCCCATGTCATTATGTATGGGCAATGACTTAGGAGTAGAAGGGCCAGAAGCTAACTTCCGTCCAGTCATTCCACTTTGGATGTCTCAGTTTGATGCCACTGCCTCACTGACATCCGTGGAGCCTTACAGAAAGGCAATAGCATTCCCTCCTATGTAATGCATCCTACAAACAGTTGTGGGTTCCAGGGGCAAGAACCCAAGTCACAGGAAAAACTCAGATATGGATTGGTACCATGAATGACCTGTGCTGTTTTCTAATGCCCAGCTACTCCTCGGGGAAGGATCATGGCTCACCTTCACAGGATGTGTGCTGGTCAGACCAAATACTTCAAGCTGTGTGCAACCTAATGTGCCTTTTTAAAGGCCGCATGTTACTACAGGGCAGACGATCAGATGGAAGGGTTGTAAAGTCAGGAGAAGACTGGAAGGGAAGTTGCATCACTAAGAAATATGAATACATCTTTCTTTCACAGGGAAAGGGAGGGAGTGAAGGATAAAGGAGAGGATGAAGAGGAGTCAGGGTCTGGCCAAAGCTCTGCCAGTCGTGCATCTGACTCCATGTCAACAACTATGGCCCTGTCCTACATGCCATGATCTGGATTTGTTTGTCCAACATGGGCATGACAGGCTCTTTGGAGGGAAATAAGCATCCCATAGTGGTATGTCCAAAAGTGAACTCCTGACTCAAACGCACAATCCTTTGGATCTCAAAGGATTTTTCTTTTCTCCCTCTATGTATCTGAGCCCTAAGCCTTGGAGTCTTTCCTACTCCACATCCCACACATCTGGAAATACCATTGCCTCCACTTCAGCATAGAGCCAAACCCTAATTTCTTTCCCTTTTCTCTGGCTACTACTATGTATAAGCCACCTTTCTTGTTTGCACACGTGCAATGACCTCTTCTGTCCTGCAGTGCTCTGTGTTCAACCCCTTGCTCAATAATCATTTAAAGCTCATGTCAGGTCCTGGTACTTCTCTGTTCAAGCTTGCAGTGGAGCCATGTCACTCAGGGTACAAGTCCAAATCCTTGAACACAGTGGGAAGATCTACTCTTGGGGCCTTTGCACATGCTGCTGACCCAAGCAAGGCCCTTCTCCCAGAGAGTCTTATACATTCTTTTAATCTTTTCTCAGTTTTCCTCTTCTCAGTGAAGCCCCCGACCCCAGATGACCCTATTTCCAGTCTTTCACTCTCCCCAAAATTCTTCTGATTCCTGTACTACATGTTTCCCTCACATGCAACAATCTTTAAAGCAGTATGTTATTTACCTATTCATTGTGTTTGCTGATTGCTGTCATTTCCTCTTGTAGAATCTAAGCTCCATGTGGGCAATCACTCTGCCTCTGGCATTCTTCTGGGCATGTAGGAAAGCCATCGTGGGCGGGAACCTGTAGTGGCGAACATGTGGTCACTGCATGGATGGGACAAGAACAGAGACAAGGAATGACAAGGGCAGAGCAGTTCTCTTCAAGGGCATGACCACAGTCACCTAAGATCACCCACCTGTCCCTTAAAACTCCCATAACTCCCATAGTCTCCCTGTACAGCTGGGCCATTGGGGGACATTCCATACCGAAACTGTAACACTGGTGTTGTCCACCTTCTATTTCCTTCTTTCCTCCCCTGAATGAAAGGGGGAGCTTCAAGGCAGTGATGCCCGGCTCCATCAGCAAGTGTGACCCAGGGCGCTAACTAACCTGCTGAATGGGGATCCCAGGGCGTGTTTGGAGAGGACAGGAAGGACCTACTCAAAGGCTGCGCAGGGGCATGAACGCGCAGTTCATTTTTCAATCATCAATAGAAAAACCAATTACAATCACCAGCTGCAGTCGGAACGGCAGCACCATGCAGGTTCTCATTCGGAAGTCTGGAGTTGGGGAACCAGGAACCGTGAACCGCGAGCCGCTCCAGGTCTGAGCTTAGATTTCCCGCCCGAAAACAAACGGGAGGCTGAGCCGAACTATTGCCACCCTGCCCGTCCCGCATCCTCCGCGCCCTGCAGCGCCGCGACCCTCCCCAAGGCGGGGGCTGGGGCCTGCTGAGGGTCCGGGCCGCCGCCTACTCGCCGCCGCCGCTCACCCGCCGCTCACCTCCAGTCTGTAGTTGCCCCGGATGGCTGTGAAGTCGTCTAGGGCTTCGGCCGTGTTCCCCTCGTCCAGGTTCAGCTGCTGGCACAGGGCCTGCAGCGCCTCCCTGGCGGCGGCCACCACTACTGAGCCCTCGGCGTGGGGCTCGTCCTCTAACATCCCCTGTGGCCCAGCGGGTGGCGCGACCCAGCTTCGGGGGTTCTCTTTTCTCTCCCCGTGCGCTACCCACAATTCCCCGCGACAAAGCGCGCCAAAATCATTTACTTCAGCCTTCCTCCATCGTCTGCATCCGCTTTTCTCCTCGAAAGAAGTCCCCTTGTATCTCTCGAGCTTATAGTAGCCTCTCTCCGGAAATGGGATAAGAAGGTGGACCATGACTCAAGCGGAGAGGCGGTGGCCCTTGGGCAGCAGGCCTTATGGGCTTGTTGGGGACGTAGGGGAGGGAGCGGGGCGGAGGGATCCACGCTCGCAGAGGCTGCCGGGACTGTAGGCGAACCGGGCACTCTCCACAGCTCTTCTGTGGCGGAGAGGGGAGGGTCACCTGCAGCGAGGTGTCCCATATTCACTTGGTAAGACCTATGTGTCGTTGTATGTAACGTGTGTGCATTGGGCTCAGGTCCTGAAGAGAGCCTTGGAGCCCCTGGAGGTGGAGTCACTGATGGTTGTGAGCTGCTGGATGTAGGTGCTGGGAATCAAGGTTACCTGGAAGAGAGAAGAAAACGCTTGAGCTTTGAGCCATCTCTCCAGCCCCAGAAAACTAAATTAAAATAAAAAAAAAACATGCTGGGCGTGGTGGCGCACGCCTTTAATCCCAACACTTGGGAGGCAGAGGCAGGCGGATCTCTGAGTTTGAGGCCAGCCTGGTCTCGAGACATAGCGAATCCAGGCCAGCAGGGTCTACAGGGAGACCCTGTCTCAAAAAGACATATATATATTATTTTTTAATGTGTATGTGTTTATTGCCTGCATGAACGCAAGTGCACATGTGTGCCCAGAGGTCAGAAGAAGGCTTGGGATTCCCCTGGAACTGGAGTTATGGACAGTTGTTAGCTGTCATGTAGATGAGAGCACCCAGTGCTCCTAACCGCTGAGCCACCCAGCCTCAGGAAGTTGTTTTTAGAAGGTAGACCACAGCCTGGCACTATTAATCAGAATCCCTAAGTACAGCCCTTTTCCTCTTGTTAAGAAAATACAGGGCTCAGATGCTTTGGGTAGTTTTTAACCTTGAAAACTGCACATAATCAAAATTAGAAAATCAACTAAGAGCAAAGACAAAAATTTAATGAGTGAAATACAACAACCAACCAATAAACGTTAAGTAAAGCTTTTTGAGACAGGGTCTCCCTGTAGCCCCAGCTGTCCTGGATTCACTATGGAGACCAGGCTGGCCTCTCACAGAGATCCGCCTGCCTCTGCCTCCCGAGTGCTGGGATCAAAGGCATGCACCACCACGCCCGGTTAGAAAATATTTTTAAAAAACAAAGCTGGTGAATGTAGAGCCAGCACTAGAAAATTAATTTCCTAGTTGTCAATTCAGTGTTCTTTTATTCTATCACACTACTATAATTTACATACAATAAATTATACAGATATTTGTTGTTGTTTTTGTTGGTTTGAGTTTTTTTCTAAGGCAATTTTATTTATTTTATTTTATGTGTATGAATGTTTTGCATGCATGTATATAAGTGCACCATGTCTGTGCATAGCCCACGGAGGCCAGGAGATGGAGTTGACCCCCCGCAGTTGGAGTTACAGATGGTTACCATGTGGGTGCTAGGTACTGAGCCTCCGTTCTCTGCAAGAGCAGCCAGTGCCTTAACTGCTGAGCCATCTCCAGCCCTGTTGGTTTGTTTTTTTGAGACAGAATCTCACTATGTAGCCCTGGCTGGCCTGGAACTCAACAGACAGACAAGGCTGGCCTTGGACTCACAGAGATGAACCTGCCTCTGCTTCCAAATACTGAGGCTAAAGGTGCATACCACCACACATGGCTTAAATTATACAAAGCTGAAGTGAGTTTGGCAAGTGTACACATCTAGTCTGGATGTAGAGCATTTTCATTGTTTCATTCTTGTTAGCCTTTGCCTCTTTGTGTGATACAGGGGATAAAACCCAAAGCATTGCACATGCTAAGTATGTGCCCGCTGCTACATCCCAGCCCCTCTTGTGCCCTTTCTAACTCAATTCCTCCTTCCTGCATCATCACTTCTGATTTGCATAAGCATAGATTTGCATAAGCTGAGGTCGTATTCCAGTATGTGCATCACAGTTTGTCCTCTCTCCTTTTGATGAACTTTAGGTTGTTTTCAGGTTTTAGCTACTACATATAAAGTCACTATGCATGTTGTGTAACATTTTTTGGGAGAATGTTCTCATGTCTCTTAGGTGAACACCTTGGATTAGAACTATTGGGTCATAGGTGATAGATATTCACTTATATGACAGGTTTCCAATGTTCCCAGGATAAAAGCCATACAACTGGAATATTGCACTTTGCCTTCTCATCTCAGTGTTGACTTTTCTTCAACATCTGCTTCCTTTTGGTCATTGCCCTGAGTATATCAGGGATTAGTTGTCCAGAGTTTATAATTTTTTTTTTCTCCAGGAAAATAGGATATGAGATCTATTCAGCCATTACTAAGTCTTTTTTTTTTTTTTCCTTTGCTGTGCTGGAGATTGACCCCAAAACTTGATGCATTTGAGGCAAGTGCTGTAACATTAACCTGCAACCTTAGCCTTTTAAAACATATCTATCTTTCACATTTAACATCTTAGCTCATATAGAATTCTTATATATGCGAATAGTACAAATATAATGTCTTTCCTTGCTTAGTATGGACATTTGATTTGTTTTATTTTGTTTATCTTTTAATTGAACCAAGGTCCTCACACATGCTAAGCAAGCAGTACATGTACCACTAAGCTATAGCCTCAGTCCAATACGGGTAATTATTTATTGAATAATAGTTAATGCTTTCCTCCACAGATCTAAATTATCAACATTTTTAAACTTCCCATATATGATCAGTCTTTCTGGATTCTGTTCCATACTTTCTTAGTTACTATTCTATAATAAGTTTTTATACTTAGAATAATGACTGTTCGTGCTATTTCATGCAGTATCTGCCAAATTTCTCCACTATAAAGTTACTATTTTGGCTGGGAATGGTGGTGTATGCCTACACTCCAGTACTCACCTGTAATCATTCCAAAGACTACAAGGCCCAGGCCAAGCCAGGCTATATGGTAAGTCCAGGTCAGCCTGGCCTATGTAATGACACCTGTACTGAGAACAAATAAACAAGCTAAGTTACTATCTTATCTCTTTGTAATTAACATATCTTGATTCAATTAAATATAGTTATAGGATCATTCAGGTTTTGTTTCATCTTGAATCAGTTTTGACAAGACATAGGATGAGGCAGATGTTTCCAGGGGGTCATTAGGCACTTACAGTGATTGTGAATGAGTGAGCAGAGAGGTGAGTAACCAGCCAGGCAGTGGTTTTGAGATTTCAACCCAGGTCTTGACATTTGGGATGTCACTTATTTTACTGGCAGTGTTGCTGTTACCGCTTTTTACCACTAGATGGAAATACTAACCATTTTGGGTTTTGGGGGGAGATTTTTGGGTTTTTGTTTTATGAGTGTATTGCCTGCATGTGTGTAAGTGCACCCATGTCGTGCAGTGCCCTTGGAGGTCGGAAGAAGGCATTGGATTCCCCTGGAACTGGAGTTATGGACAGTTGTTAGCTACCATGTGAGTGCTGGGAATCAAACCCGGGTCTTCTACAAGAGCAGCCAGTGCTCTTAACCACTCCAGGCCAAAATAAAAATAAAATAAATTTTTTAATTAAAAAAAAAAGCCGGGTGTGGTAGCGCACGCCTGTAGTCTCAGCACTTGGGAGGCAGAGGCAGGCGGATCTCTGTGAGTTCAAGGCCAGCCTGGGTTACAAATGTATTTCCAGGGCAGGTGGGGCTGCAGGGAGACCCTGTCTAAAAAAGACCAAAAAAAAAAAAAAATTAAATGTGTTTATGAAATAATGAACATGATTTATAAGAGTTTTATAGACTAGGAGAAGAAGATCAATAAAAGTGTGCTTGAAAATGCCAAAATGAAACTCATCACTGTATGATAACTTAAAAAAATTAATAAAATTGTTTTGTAAACTAGTGAAATATTGACAAAAAATGAAGGGTTTAAAAGCAATAAGACTGTAGTTGGAAACTGCATGGACCCTTATCTCAGAACTGCCTGGAATACAGAATAATTTGCATAGGCTGAGCAGTGCCCCCGATGGCCTAGAGTCTATAACAGGCCTTGTTATCCTGACTTTTCCTAGCATGAACAGGGCTCAGTGGAGATGTTTGAGCATCTGGTTAATTCTAATAAACTCAAACCTGTCATGGAACACTATGGTCTCATCCCTGAGGAAGATATTTGCTTTATCAAGGAACAAATTTTGGGACCACCTATAACACCAATCAAAGATTGTTCGGTAAGTTTTTATTCAAGTTCTTTGTAACAAACGTGCTTTTCATCTAATCACTTCTTGATTTCCTCAGAGCTACATTGACTATTTCAGAGGGACTGAAATATAAGTCACATGCATCTGCCTTTTAATGCAAAATAAATGAAAGATCTATGTTTTTCCCACATCTTGAATTCTTTAGAAGTTACTTTCCCAAATGGTACTTCATACCTGCAATGCCAACACTTGGGATACAGAGGCAACAGGGTCAAAATGCAAAAGTGTACATCTTGGGCTGGAGAGACAGATCAATGGGTAGGAGTGCTTAGTACCTGAGTCTAGGTCCCTAGCACCCCTGTAAAAAGCCAGTGTGAGCTGTCTTTAATCCCAGCACTCAGCAGGTGGATCACTGTTAGTTCTCAGCCTGGTCTACATAGCAAGTTCCAGGCCAGCCAGGGCCACATAGTGAGACCCTGTCTAAAAAAAAATCTACCATGGGCCATGCATTACCTATAGCCCCTGCACTGTGAGAGGTAGAGACAGGAAGATCCCCGAGGTTTATAGCCAGCAAGCTACTGTTTCAATCAGGAATCCTGTTTCAAAAAATAAGGTGGAAAGGCCGAAGAGATAGCTCAGCAGTCAAGAGCACTGGCTGCTTTTGCAGAGGACCCAGGTTCATTTCCCAGCATTCATATGGCAGCTAATAACTATCCATAACTCCAGTTCCAGGGGGAAGCCGATTGAACTGCAAATATCTTATTTCTTTTTTTTTTAGTTTCTTTTTATTTATTTTAATATTTTATTATTTTTATTTTATGTGTATGAGTGTATTGCCTACATGTATGTGAGTGCACCTGTGTCATGCAATGCTGCAGAGGTCAGAAGGGGGCTTCGGATTCCCCTGGAACTGGAGTTAAGGACGGTTTGTAGCCACCATGTGGGTGCTGAGAATCAAACCCGGTTTCTCTGCAAAAGTAATCAGTGCTCTTAACCATGGAGCCATCTCTCCAGCCCCAATTTATTTTTATTTTCATTTTATGTGTATGAGAGTGTTATGCCTGCATGGATGTAAGTGCACCCATGTTGTGTAGTGGCTAGGGAGGACAGAAGAAGGCATGGTATCCCCTGGAACTGAAGGTATAGACAGTTGTCAGCCTGTCATGCAGGCGCTGGGATTTGAACCCAGGTCCTCTGCAAGAGCAACCAGTGCTTTTAGCCTCTGAGCCATTGCTCCAGCCCCACATATCTTATTTCTTAAAAAAAAAAAAATGAGTTTCAAAAATGTTTTGAGTAGTGCATGTTTAGAGTAGATGTGTAACTACTTTAAAAAACAGTAATATAATAAACTAGGTATAGTGGCAGATGCCTGTAATTCCAGAACCTGGGAGGTAGAGGCAGGAGAAATTAAAGTCATCCTCACCTATACAGCAAATTCAAGGCCAGTGTGAATTATGTAAGACCCTGAGATTCCAGGTATGTACTACCATACCCAGTGAAAGACTGTACTATTTTAATATAT